GCATAAAACGTAAATGTTGACTAAATGTGACGTCAGTGTTGCTGGTCAACCAAGTTTCTTCTATGCGTATGGATTTTTGTATACCTTATTTCCTTTAATTGATGTTAAATTTGTTGTTTCAGGCTGCTTTGAAACATTTATATTGCATTTTTGTTAGATTGAGTTGTTTTTTACCTATCTATGCATATGTTTTTGTGCTTTATAAATACATTTATCCCGGTTCTGATACCTATTGTTGGTACCCGTGAGCTACAAACTTTCGTTGATGTCTTTAAAAAAGAGATTGACTAGTTTCGGCATTAATTGGAGCCTGAAATTACAAACAATATCTCAAGTCCATAATATCCATTTTCCAAAGGTACTCAGACTTGTTGCTCATTCCGTGCCAAAGTTGCACAACAATGCTGCTAATTCATATCCACATGCTGCTGAATTTTTTCCCATACAAATCAAATGTATCTTACGGGAACGCGTATGGAATGAAGATTCATTGTTGCGTCATTCCATAAGCGTTCCCGTAAGATACATGTTGCTCACACCACGAAAAGTCACCACGAAAGCGCTCTCTGCACCTCTGAAAAGAGAACAAATTTTGAAACGCTCTCCGGACTCATTTCTGTGTTTAAATTGTGAGCCACTATCGATATTACCGATATTTTGCTGCTAGCCTCTACTATCGATGATTTTGATATAGCCACTGCACTCGATAGTTTTTCTTCACCTCTGAAAAGAGAGACAATTTTGAAAAACCACCACGAATTGAGAGCGAAAAGTGTCAGTATTTTTTGTGCGCTAAATGAGTATGGCGGTCATTTTCAAAAGTATATTAATATATGGAAAAATATATATTTCACTAGATTTGTTTTGTCGAGTGTGACTGGAACCTCAGAAACGTCATTATTAAACCGAATATCAAAATCGAGGAATATGATTTTCTGTTTAAAAAGAAATGGGCTAAGTGGGGTTAAGCTAGTTTGTTCCTCGGTATATTTAGGGTATTTTTTTAACATGAGACGGTCTATTTCTGAGGGTCAGGCTGTATATTCCATCAATAAATCCGCGGTCACACTCGACAAAACAAATCAAGTTATTTTTCCAAATATGAAGACACATTTCAAATTGACCGCCAAACGCGCACCAAAAATACTGACATTTTTCGCTCTCAATTCGTGGAGAGTTTGCAAAACTCGCTCTCAATTCGTGGAGAGTGCTCTCTTTTCAGTGGAGAATATAGTGTTTTTGTGGAGACTTTCCCCTCATTTTCGTGGTGTGGCAGCATGTTGCTGAAATTTTTCCCATTCAAAATCAAATGTATCTTACGGGAACGCGTATGGAATAAAGATTTATTGTTGCGTCACACCACGAAAAGTCACCACGAAAGCGCTCTCTTCACCTCTGAAAAGAGAACATATTTTGAAACGCTCTCCGGAGTCATTTCTGTGTTTAAATTGTGAGCCACTATCGATATTACCGATATTTTGCTGCTAGCCTCTACTATCGATGGTTTTGATATAGCCACTGCACTCGATTGTTTTTCTTCACCTCTGAAAAGAGAGACAATATTGAAAAACCACCACGAATTGAGAGCGAAAAGTGTCAGTATTTGTATGGCGGTCATTTTCAAAAGTATATTAATATATGGAAAAATATATATTTCACTAGATTTGTTGTGTCGAGTGTGACTGGAAACTCAGAAACGTCATTATTAAACCGAATATCAAAATCGAGGAATATGATTTTCTGTTTAAAAAGAAATGGGCTAAGTGGGGTTAAGTTAGTTTGTTCCTCGGTATATTTAGGGTATTTTTTTAACATGAGACGGTATATTTCTGAGGGTCAGGCTGTATATTCCATCAATAAATCCGCGGTCACACTCTTCAAAACATCAGATTTACGGTAAAAAGACGCGCGTGTGTTCGGAAAAGTTGGAGCGGCGCTGTAAGCAAAATGCAATAAAATATATTTTAGAATACAGCGGCTCCGCGCCTCGAGTGATAACAAAGATAATGAAATATTAAAAGAGTCGGAGAAATCAACTCGGTTGGCGCTTTTTACTGAATTTTCCAAAGGCGTGGGTGGCATTTCGTGGTTCGGTGTTTTGTGATTTCCTGGTTTGGATAAAAACAGAGATACCAAGTGGCTAATAGTTGAATGAAAACGCTGTGAAAATTTCAATTTAATAGACGGAGTGCGACGCGTAAGTTTCCAACTGTGTTTCGTGTGCGTGTGTGCGTGCATGTGTGTGTGTGTGTGTGTGTGAAAAAGAGAAAGAAGTTTCCAAGCGGCAGTGGAGTTGCAGTGGAAACAACACAAACAGCAACACTCGCTCACTCACACATATGCACTCACACTTGAAAATAAGCTAAAGAAGAATTGGGAAAAATGGAAATAAAGTGACAAAGCGGAGTAACAAAAAAAGAACGACTCCGTTGATGAAATTTAATTAAAATAAATCAGAATTAAAAGACGGCATTAACAGAGACGGGAAATATCCTGCGCAGCTCTCTCGCTCTCTCTTACTCATCTCTCCCATCAATACTCTCTTTCTCCTGCCGCTTGCCAGCAAGTTATTCTTTATTTTATGTTCTCTCTCGTTCCCCCCGCGCGGTAGACCAACGCCTTACCAGCAACTTCTCTGTTACTTTTTTGCCTCCTTCTCGACTCTATTTCTTTATTCTTTTTTTTTTTTTGTTAATTCCCTGCCTCCCACTCCTTTTTTTTACTTGTGCCGTCGTTTCCGTGGAAAGCATTTGTGACCATTTCCCATTTTTCGACCCATTTCATCGTGGTTCTTGTTGTTGTGGCTGGGTTGCTATTATTCACTTTTGTTTTGTTTTCCCTTGTTCCCTCGTTATATATGAGGAAATATTTATTTTTATTTTTTATTAGTTTATAACAACATTTACATGGTCTTTATTCCGTTTTTGTGAATTCCCTACCCTACCCACTGCGCCCGCAGGATATATCTTCTGTTAAATTTTTTTTGGTGGTCCCTCCCCCCACTCGTACGTGTTTAATTATAGTTTCGCTGCGCTGCTCTCTCTCTCTCTTTACTACTCTCCCGCATTCATATATCTTCCAATTAGCGGCATCGAATTTCGGTGCAAAGCAGAACTTCAGTACTGTGTGCGAGAGAGAGAGAGGGAGAGAGAAAACTCTATTTGATTTACTTTGATCATAGTTGTATTTGTTGCTTTTAGTCCCCCCTAACGACCGTGAAAATAAGCAACAACATACAGCCAACAGCAGAATCAGCAGCAACAGAGCGACGCGTCGACGGCGACTGCGTTTATGGCCGTAACTGTAAATACTCGCAGAGTTTAGCTGCTAAGCCGGGGCTGGTTTTAATAGTTGCTTCCAGCAGCAGTAAAACGCCCGAAGATTGCCATTTTGATTTATTCTAATTAAAAGAAAAAGAAAAAAAAAAAGGTAAGTGTGAGCACTTTTTTTTTGCTGTTGTTTTTCTCTTTCGGTCACGAAACTGGTTTTAGCTCCTTTTCATTCACACCGCCTTAGTGGCATTATGCTATGCCTCCTGCTCTTTCGTTTGGTTTGCCTGCATTACAAAGTGCCGTTAAAGAGCCAATGAACGCATCAAAAGCCATAAGTAAACAACATAGCAGGCAGAACTAATGCAAGAACAAGAAGAAACGGACCCGAACTTATTGATACTCTTGCAGATTAGGCAATTTGATGTCGATTGGGTTGTTGGAATATGTAATGGTATTTGGTATGAAATTTGTAGAGTTTATTTTGAGACGACAAGCATCTGATGAAAATCATAACACTCTCAGTAAGGGTATCAAAAGATCTAGTCTGTTAAAGAGAAAGAGAGAAAGAGATCTGCTCTCCCTCTGCAGTTTCTATTTATGCTGCGCTGCTGGCTGCTGGCTGCAGTCTGCTGCTCTGCTCTGCTGATAAAAGCAAAGCCATTTTTATAGCTCGGCTGCTGCGCGCTGCGGTCGCCACAGGCTGCTGTAAAAGTCAAAGAGCATTTTGTTATTGGGATTGCTGCTTTTGTAATTGTCTGTAATTTAGACGTGGAGCTGGAGAGGGCGGCCCGACGCAGGCTGTTCCACAGTCAACCAGCAGAAACAGCAGCAGCAGCTGGCGTCAACGTCGGCGCAGCAGCTGCTGTTCTCTCTCTCACTCTCTCCTCTGCCTGCCTGCCGCCTGCTTGCTATTTTCGGCATTTTTGTGTCTGCTGCTGCTGCGCCGCCGCCGCCCCCTCCATGCCACATGTATTTATTTACCTTTTGGTGTCTTGTTTATAATTTTCTCCCCCCGTCCACAAGTTCTCTCTCAATCCCGTTGTGCTTTGAAGTTCAAGCCACAATTTTGTTTGGATTTTTCAGCTATTTTTGTAGCTTATCTGCGTTCCCGTGCCCTCCCTCTGCTCTATGGTGCTACTGCTGTGAGGGAGGCTGGGAGTTGTTTTCTTCTCTCACTTTTTCCTTTGTGGCTAGCCGCTGATAAAGCCCGCAAATAGTTTGCCTTCCTTTTGCATACCCTTTCATAGTTTATTCTTTGACTGCTTCGTAGCCCCCTGATGCGGTGAAATGGGGAGGCAATTATGCTTTTTGGCCTCCGCCCTGCTCTTGCTCTTTGGCTCCACTCCCACTCCCTTTGGCCCCCCCCTCTTTCTCTGGTAATCATTGAAAAATGGCAATCGTAAATGCTTGAAACGAGTAAATCTGCTCAACTCGACCAACTGCAAACTTGTTGAGATCTTTTCATTTCTCTATTTCACTTGCTGTTTTTCTCTTCTTTTATTTTTGCACACAAAGCGTTTGCGAAGGCAATCTAAAGAAGGAGCACAGAGGGTGTAGAGAGGAGTAGCCAAACAACAACTGTAAAAGTAGTCAAAGCACAAGTACAAGGAGGGGCGGCAGCAGAGGAACAAGCACAAGTAGAAAATTCAATTGTTCGGAGCTCTCTTTTGCTCTTCCTTTGTGCTCTCTGTGTGTGTGTGTCTGTGGAAGTGCAATCGTGTGTGTGTGTCGTCCACTTAGCCCGCAAACAATGCGCGTTTTATTGATAACGAAAGAAGAAGAAACAAAAAGAAAGACGAGAGAAAGAAAAAAAAACTGAAAGTGCGTGGCAAGTGGAAAATGCAGATAGTGGTGGGAGCGTGAGCGTATGCAGAGTTGAAAGAGCGTGAGTGTAGAGATGGGAGTGTGAGTGTAGGAGAGATTCAGATTCAACGAACGGGAGTGTGGGGAATGCCCAGGCTCTTCATCTTGCACTTGAGCGTCTTCAGCAACACCTTGTCGTGCACCATGAAATCGAGGTTGGATGAAAAATGCTGTAGCATACAGAACATGCAGTGTTCGATGCCAACAAGTAGCTTCTCGTGTGTGCCACACAGTCTGCCGCTCCTGCACATCTTTAGATCCAGGGCCGCATATAGCTGTTTCTCCACCTGGAGCAGGGCTTTCACAAAGCGCACCAGATCGGACTCCATCGATCCGTATTCGTCCTCCTTCAGCGAGCGAATGAATATGCGTACGAGACCTCGCAACACATCATCCAGGTGCTCTGCACGGCGCAGCGCGTGATTAATCTTCTCCATGGGATTCGTGTCGCAGAAATAGTGCACCCAGGCGGGGAGCCTGGGTAGGCATTCCCAGATGCCACGGGACCAGATGAAAAACCTTTGGAACTTCAAAGCGATCCCCTCTATAGCCGCTTTGAGTCCATCCCAGGTCGGACACGATTTGATGATAGGCTGGCAGGAGGTAGCATCCGTCATTAGCGATGGAAACTTTAGATTTCTCGCGATCAGCTGATCACAGGCCGATAAACATTTTGGGGTCGTCTGGACGGGCAGCGTAGTCGAGGGTTTTGTTGCATTCCGGATTTGATTCTTTTGAGGCCTCTGGAGTGGCTGATAGGGGGGAGTGGAGTCTTCCATAGCGCTCTTCATGTTGGCTACGAACTCGTCCACCATTGCCATTATCAATTCGCGCAGATTCAGCCAGGATGTGTGCAGTCGAATCGGCGAAAAGATCGTCGGGCATAGACGATCGCAATGGTTGGACGCTGCTTCGTGGAATTCGCTAGCCGCCAGCAGGCGGAACCCGTAGAGACACTTAATATCCAAGGCCATGTAGAATGACAGTTGCAGCTCGGCCAAGTCCTCCGGCACCTGGCACAGCTGCTGGCGGCACATCCACAATATAAAATGTTCCCAGAGTCTCTTGTTGTATCTGAGGTGCACTTGTCGGGGATTGAGGACCAGCGGCAATTCCTGCTGCATGACTACCTCGTATATATTCTTAATCACATGCAGCTTGGCCAAGACGAGGGTGGTCAGGATCCAGGCCCAGAACATTTTCTCAGCACTCCATCCTTGCCCTAAGTCACCATCCAGCACAAGGATCCAACAGGATGATTGGATCAGGCCAGAGGCGAGCGCTGTCACGACGACAAGTCTGACTTTATGGGACTGAAACGTGCTCTCGACGATCGATCGCCATATGCACAGGCCAACACCCAAACCGGGTAAAGAGAACCGGCGGAGGCGTCTGCCATGCTCGGCAAGAAAGTAGGCGAAGCCGCAGCAGCAGCCGTGGATCAGCAGAAAGTAAGGGGGCCAATCGACGTCAAAGATGTCCATGAAGCAGGCGTACAACCGGCTGGTGAGGATACTCACGTAGAGGACTGTGACCAGCAGCTGGATTCGCAGTGGCATCTCCTGCCGCAGCCGCTGCAACCGTGTCCGATAGCTGATCGGATGCTCGTTGTGGATGTGGCACAGCAGCAGTCCATAGAGAGCCACACCTGGCTGCAGCATAATCAGCAGTGAAGTAAATGCGAATGTGCCCACCGGGACATCCAGCAGGTAGCTCAGGGAACATGAGTAGAACAGCAGGATCAAGTCGAAGAAGACGCACAGCAGATTGGCAGTGTAGAAGCGGGCTAACAGCAGATTCCAGATCTGGTCGGGTATCGTATCAATATGTTTGGGCAGCCAACGAGAAAGACAAATCAATTTTCGATACATTTTGCGCAAAAAATTTCTATGCTCTGATGGGATTGAACTCTAGTCTCTGATATACTTATACTGAGAGCATATACCATGCCCCCTTGGATGCCCAGAAATTGTCAAGCATTTGATGAACTGATTTTCTGTTTATATTTGTCCTTAGTAATTACGAGTAATGTCTCCATTGACATAGTTCTCAATGCCAAATGGAATGGACATCAATCTGCTTAATGGATGCAGTCGCAGCTACGACTCCCTGACCCAGCCAAGCTGCTGCTCTGCAGTTGACCTCAGAAACAGGTCCATTGTCTCTCTCTCTGTCTCTCTCTCTCTCGGTTCGCTTAAAGTTGAAAGTTTTTGATGCCAATTTAAAAGTTTCCTTTTCGAGATACTCTTACAGAAGGTATTTGTATTATGTTCGTAGACCACCTACAATTTGAAAAGAATTTGAAATATTATGGATCGTAAATAAAGTCAGAATATTAGTTTCAGCCATAGATCTTAAGGAAACGCATAGAATCTATAGGAATTTCGATAGTTTCTTGGTAGTTACTAATGGTTTGCTTTGATTTATTCACATCTTGAAGTGTATTTGCTATTCGTTTAGCTTTTTGTTCTAGTTTTATGTTTCTTGGGAAAATGTTGCATTTCATTCCTGGTGCTGTACAGGTGACTGACTGGCGGGTTGCTGGAGTGGAGTCCAGCTGTGGAACAAAGTTTGTTTGCCGCTGCAGGGCGCAACATTGCATTTTCCAATTGTTTTTATTTGGTGACTTTTTATGGGGATCCACTGGTCTACCTGTGGGGAGGAGGGGTGAAACGTTTCAGAGGCGGCTCTGACGTTGCAGTGGGGAAAAAGTTCTAATTTATGTCGCTAAGTTTTACGCCTGGCAAGAAAAAAAGTTTGTTGTAGTCAGTTTTAATGGTCAAGCGGTTGGCAGGAGAAGCGGTGGAAAATGGAAATGAAAATGGACACAGACCCGAGGATGAGGATGTTGCTCTATGACCGGCTAACCCAAAAGCCCCACTCATTGGACACGGTACGGTTGGGTGGGGCGAGGGGTCAGGCGGCATGTCCGGGGGCCAATTAGATTTATGGCATTAGCACAGGTCGTTGGCTATAAAGCACTCGCACGCTTACGGCGGGAAAATCAACGTGAAAATGGAAACCAAAGGCAGGGCACAGGATGAGGAGGAGGATCCCCACACATCCTCAAAAACAGGCAGAGCAGAAGGCCCCCGAACATTGTTTGTTCCGCTCTCTTCCGCTCTTACTTCCCTTCACACACACACTCCACTTGCCGTTCTGTGTTTCCCCCCAGTTTCATACTCCCCACTTTAGCCGGCACTCGAGTGCACATCCGCTGGGCAGCAAAACATTGTTTCATTCCATAACCGCGCCGACTACTTTAGCCCCAAGGTGTATGGAAAGCAAGGTGAGGCATTGTCTGTGAGTGGCTAAGACTATAAATTCAATTCAGTGCACACACAGATCGAACGAGAGAGAGCAAGACAGATCGGGAATGCCCGTACCTTGGCTATAAATGTACATTGCCTTTGCACTTCATGCAGTCGCTGTCGCTGCTGTTTGCGCCGTCTATGGGGGTTTTTTTTTTCGACCCCCGCTCTCTCCTGCTCTCGCTCCCTTGCTCACACTGGAAAGCTTTGTTCGGCAACGTGTTCCGGTTTGCCATTCATTCTTTTGCATTGGCCCTTCCTTACCTTACCCACTTCTCTCCTGGCGTTCTCTCTCTCACACACTCTTACCGCTCTCCTGGTTCTCCTGCCTCTCGCTTTCCGTTTTCCCTCTTCCGTCCGCTACATTGACGCGTGTGCTCCTGGGCCGCCGCACACATTTCCGGACTCGACTCTCAACCGGACTCTTTTTTTTTTGTCCGCCGCCTCTGTTTCTGTGTGGGGTGGTTGTTGCTGCCTTTGTCGTTGCTTTTGGCTAGTTTTCGATTTTATCGATTTTCATAAAGCAGCTTTTATGGGCAGGCAACGGCACATTTCGGTGGCAAAAGTTTTTGCCGCCTCCTGTTACTCCAATTAGAGAGCCAGGACACACACATACACACGAGCACTAACACACACATGTTCATTTACATGTAAAAGAGAGCAAAAGAGAGTACATTTTTGGCATTCCAATTTGGGTTTTCTGTTGCAGCTGCAGATGAGAGCCAGGATTTTTTTTGTTTGGCTTCCATAAATTGGATTTAAACTTTAACACAATCAGGCTTCCAATTACAATTTTTTTTAGGTGACATCCATATCCTCTTTTAAGGTTTACTTCCATCTAACCAATCAGCAAAGTAAAGCTTGAAAAAGATTTATTTTCTGAGCCAATTAGCCATCAGTTCACCTTGCAAGGGACAAGTAAACAAAGCATTCGTCCGAGCAGCAAAAGTAAAGCCTGTATGGCACTAACTCCTGCATTAATTAGCAAGCAGTTCGATCAGCGGGCAGTGTATTCATTTTTAAAGCAATTGAAGCATGACAACAGTTTATTTTCTCTCTTAACTACATTTTTCCTGCATATAATAATAAAAACTATAAAGGTTTTACTCCTCCGAAAGGATTACGCTGCCATTATCCACTTCCACATCTTCCTTGGCAGCAGTAATCCCCCGACGCGTTGGTCAGTCAGAACTTGAAGCAAACATCATACAGGCTTCCTGCAGCTGCAACCAGCGACCCAGTTCGTGCCTCAACTTATAGAAAGAAGACCCCAACCCTAAAGTATAATATCTCTTCTTTTTGCCGACTTAATGAAAACTTTTTAATTACAAGGATCAGGGACAATAAAAGTTTATGAGGCGAAAAGCTCTCTCCCAGCTCTGCTGTAATTTTCTTGCAAATAAATACGAAAAGCGTGGCAAAAACTAATAAAACTAGTAGATCCAACTCTCAGCTGCTGGAACTATCATCCATGAGGAAAAACCCCGCAGAAACAACAACAAGAAAATCGAGTTGAAGTTTCGCCTTTTAATGGTAAAGTAAAGTTTGGCTAATCCCTGCCAAAAAATGAGAGAAATATATATAGACAAAAAAAGAGGGCCAATAAAAACAGACAGTAGGATGTGCGGACTGTTGCGCTGATATTGGATTTTGGCAGAAAGTTTTTGGCTAAAACTGTCAGAGGTGGAAGGAAAAAGGGCAGAGGCGAAAACTCTGGTTATGGCCTGTGACAGTGGCAACAAAATGGCAAATCGATTTCCCAATGCAATCTCTGTAAAGCAGAGAGGCTAATATTCAAATGAAATTTCAGTACATTGAACCCCAGAGAGAGAGAGAGATGTAGATACAGTCCTTGCCTCCCCCTACAAGGTGTGAATGTGTCGCAGGAGGATGTGAAAATGGTTAGAGGCGCGAAGAGCGCTTCCAAGAGGACTCTAGGAGGAAACCAGATAAATATAAACACGAAAGTGGAGCAAGCAAACCCCGGAGCCGCAATAACTGTCATGGGAAGGATTTACCCCAGAAGCAGAAAGGGGGGGAAAGAAGGTAGCTACAAATGGAGTTGAATCCGACGTAAAGGAATTTCCTCTGCAGCAGCAGCAGCAACCCTTTTACAGCCTGGCTCTAGATTTTCCCTGTGTAATTCCCCCAATGCTTGAATAACTTGACAAACTTCACATTTTCTGGGGGAAGTCATAGACAAACCTTCAAATGAAATTAAAAAGTTAAACCAGAAATGTGTGTGTGTGTGTAACTCCTCTTCCAACCCTTAAATGCTCTCAGTCCACCGCCAAGATGTGCTCTTCATCTTCTGCAACTTCTTCTGTGGGGCTGCATCTTCTCAGGCATCTTCTTTCGCATCTGTTAAGACATTAGAAGGCCACTTTGTTGGCAGCAAAAGTTAGAGATGCCCCCTTGGAGGCACTAACATTTATAATTAGTGAGAACTGCTAGGAATTTAAAGTTCTAAGGGTGATGAATGTGTGGAGCGGAATGGAATAACCAACAGAGAGGGCAGTAGAACGACAGAAATTTATTTGCTAATGAAACTCCCATACAAAAATCATTTAATATAATCTTTTTACAGAAACTTTCTGACGTTTATTTATAGCAAAATGATTATCGTGACAAAAACCTTCATTCCTTTCCCACCCATTTATAAAGTTTCTCGATTTATTCTCAGTTCCATTTCCAACACGTGAATTCCTCGTGACAAATACGTGATAAATTGGTTGTATATCATCACCCCCAGAGAACCTCAGAAACTCAGGCATGCAATGCGCATCGTTTATAGGTCTCTGGACGGGGTCTTGAGTTATACGAATGCGCTTTGTGGGGGCGAAAGAATTTCAGGGAAAGGGAGCCAACTCCCCATGAGGGCCACACAAAAAGATAGAGGGGAACACCACAGACAAAAAAGGAGAGGCGCTTCCACATAAAGTATGACAGCAAAAATGAGCGTATTTTTCATGGGAATTTGTGGTAGATTATAGGTTTCGTTGCTATAATTCTTCTATTGCTGGAGACAAAAACATCTCCTTTTGGCGAGCGGGAAGGGGGTGGACTTCAATCTTAAACGTACATCTTCTTTAGCCACAATCTATCTTACTGCCACCATTTGGTGTCCCCGCCCTCGAGATAGCTTTGTATGCTGTGTAATTTGTCGCAAAAAGAGTTGTTTTTTTTGCGCTGTATTTTTGCAGTAGCCTGCTTCAATTGAATTGTCCAGCTCTCTTGTGAGTAAATGTCACGCTGTGATTGCTCCGATAGCGAAAATCTCAGTCTCATTCTGCTGCTAGAAGTGCACTACTGTGTCTCTGTCTGTGTCTGTGTCTCCTTTTCCATTTGCTGCATTGCGTTGCATGCTTTTGTCTCGAGTGCATTGCAGTTGTTGGAATTGTATCTGTGGAGTGTCGTGTCTATTGGGTAGTGGGGGATTCCACTTGAGGCAGACACACAGCAGAAGCCGAAACTAAATCGAATTGAAGACAAAATGCTGAAGCTCCCTCCCCAGAATGTGCCTCCCCTCTTCCTGGGGCGCATTGCACTTTGCTGATTATTGTTGTTCCAATTTGTTGGCCGTTCATTCATTCATTCATTCGTTCGTTTAGGGGGGCTA